GACTGCTGTGTTAGAGAGTCTCTGGCTGACAGTCCTAATGAGCCTGCTTCCAGCCATCCCCACCATGGTGCCAGACATGTGAGTGAAGCCAGTTTGAATTCTCTAGTCCTGCCCATCTGCCAACTGAGTCCCACTGAGTGACCTCAGTTGAAGCCAAAAGAATTGCCCAGCCAAGCTCTGTCCTAAATCCTAACCAACAGATTCCATGAGATAAAATGGTTGTTGTTTTAGCCACTAAGTTTTAGGGTAATTTGTTACTTAGCAATAGGCAATGAATGGTGCTCTAGGTTGGAAAGGTTGGAAAGGAAGCACGCTACTCTGAATAGGGCAGAGTGCCAAGTCCAGAGGAGCCTTTGCTTGGTTTGGGTGCCCTCTGCAGGAACCATGGACAGAAAACTGGCCTTAACCCCTACGTGGACTCTTATTTAACTGGCCAGGAGAAAAGCCAAGTTGAGGAAGGACTTAGTGATTATATGGTCCAGTGTTGTCAACCATGGTAGGGACATGGCGTACGTGGAGGAAGTAGATTGATTGCAGTGATCGCCCGAATTCTCACACTTCTCTGTACTTACACCTTGCAACTCCTCCCATCACCTGGCAGAATGCACTGTATTTGCCCACCCCTTGATTCTGAACTTGACCCTGTGACTTGCTTTGGCCAATGACACGTTAGCAATTGTGACAGAGGCAGTTGTTTCCTCTCTCACTCTAGCATCTCTGCCTTTGCCATGACAATGTGCTGGGCTAGGTTGCTAGAGGGTAAGGCACAAGGAGCCTGCCTGAACTGCCCCAGCCGTGCTGGCCAAGTCCTCCTAGATCAGCTGAGTCTGCAAACTGCCAGGCATATGGAGTCCAGTCAAGACCAGACTGTCCAGCCACACCCAGTCTTAATCGCCAATCCAGAGCTGTAAGCAAAATAAATGCTTATTTTAAGCCACTGAAGTCTGGGATGCTTTGTTACGTGTCATTGTGTGGCAACAGTTAACTGAGGACCACACTCCTTTGAGTGAGGAATGGACACCACCACTTCCCCATTGAGATTCCTGGTTCAAATCTAACTCCTATTTCCACCTGAGGAAATGTGAGCCAGTTACAGAATGAGCAGCAGAGGATTCCTAGGCTAGTTCTCTTAGTGCATAATTGTATTCAATCCAAATTTATTGAGCACCCATTAGGTGAGAGACACCAGAGAATTAAGAAGGAATATGGTCACTGCCCACCTAGAAGTTTGCAAGACTGCTGTGGGCATTGCTGTGTGTGGAATGGAAGCAGGAGGCAGGATCACTTCCAGCCAGTGAGTGTATGGGGGGGGGGGGGGGGGGGGGGGGGGCGTGGCATTCCAGGTGGAAGCAATTTGGTGTGCTAAAAGAATTAGGATATGTCTCGAGATTCAGTTTAACCCCCGCATGGTTCTTAGAGTCAAAGCCAAGTCTGCCTTTCCAGACCGGGTAATGGCCTCAGATGCCATGTGGCTCACATCCTTCCAGTTTTGAACTTCACACCTTTTGAAGCTGAGGTGTTCATCCTAATGAGCATAAACACCAAATTAAAAAGGAATTCATTTAGAGAAGCAGGCATAAGCATAAAGGATTAATATAACCTTACATTTTTCATTGATTCCTAGTAAAAAAATAAAACCCACCAAGACATATACTGCTGACCTTCATTTTTTACTTAAATATAGTGATCTTTAAGAGAATAAACCAAAAAAAACTTTACACAGCAAGTATTTTACATAAATGCAAACATTTTACATAAATGTAAACATGCGCATCTACTTCATAATTACGCAAAATAAACTTTTAGGCACAAGATTTCAAAAATCATTAAAGAATAAGACAACCCAAGACAGATACAACATAAGCAACAAAAACACACATTTCATAACGCTTCAATTGGTCTTGTCTTCCAACCTACTGGTTAAGGCCTGAGTTTCAGAAATCCTACCTTCCTTGCCAAATGGAAACATCCAATTTGGCTGTACCTAAGAGAACATACTATTATCTTTCAAAATAATGTTAATAAATACATCACTCACTCTCTCTCTCTCTCTCTCTCTCACTCACACACATACACACACACACACACCATACTTACACCTTACTTAACCAGCCTCTCAATTAGGATAGCAAGGATTTTGGAATTTTCAAGTTTTCCCACCACTGAAGCACATACATATTAATACCACACACAGAAAAAAAAATGATTCTGCTATAGAAATAAAATAATGAGTGGCATCATCACAGATCTCGTTTGTTTATATTGTTTCCCCAATTCATGTCTTTACTGCGGCTTGCCATGGCTCCCTGGGCACCCTGAATTTAAGTCTTTATATCTTGCCTGATGACTTACGATATGGCAGAAGTTGTATAGGACAGAGAAAAGGCAATTTTAACAATTCAGTTAGAGACTTCCAAAACCATGAAAATCACAAATAGTTTTCAGCTGTCTCCAAATGCTTGGAATGTTTGCTCCACGTCTGCCCTCTGTACTCCACTGGTTGGTTTTCTCTGCCTCCTCCCCACCAGGCTATAAGCATCTGTATGTCTATTCTCGTGGACACCCCAGGGAATAGAGATGAAAATGACGGTCCCTGCTTTTAAGGAGTTCACACCAACCAGAGCTCAAGCAAGAGGAAGGTCAGTACAGACAGCACTCCAGTGGGCAGAAAAGAACAGAGGGAGAGTCCGCGAAGATGGCACCTACACAGCGTCAGGACTGGGGCTTGGCGGGGGAGAGGGAGGGAGGGACTGAGAAGGCACAGAGGCACGAAGAGTAAGTCCAATGAGGCTGGCACGAGGTAACTCAGAAGTAGTAGTCTGTGGGGCCAGATTCTTGATTTCCAAAAAGATAAGATTCCTTATTCTGGTGGGTAAAGCTGGAGAGCAGGCGGTGGGGGTTGTGCGGAGGGAACCACCGAAGGCTTCGTGCAGAGAACAAACTGGAGCCAGCTGGAGGCTAACCATGCAGGGTCAGGTGGGACGGGCGACAGAGAAAACGAGCCCAGAGAGCTCGACTCACCAAACCCAGTGCCACATGCAAGCATTTCCTATAGAAACAAACATCTTGACCCGACATGTGAAAAACCACAGTTCTATCTGTATAAATCAAGACTTTAGGAGGAAAAAAAAGAGAGCGAGGCTTAAATAGATTATTTTTAGTTCAAGTTCCTGGAACCTGCCCCAGCTTGAGCAAGTTAAAAGCAGTGAAACAATTCCCACATCCAGTAACAATTCAAGTCTCCCAATCATGACCTTTACCTTCCCTGAGCTGTCATTAGCAAGGAATTATAAAGCAATTATCAATTCATTATGAAGAAGTTCCTACCTGCCATTAAATCCACCGAAACCTCACGATGGGCTGAGAACCCACCGCCGAGTACCAGTGTGTCCCCATTACCTACACGTGGGGGGGTGGTGGTGCGAGTGTGCCACCGGATGATGGCTCCCGACCCGCATCTCCAGCTCACTGGAGTCACTGCACATGAAACAGGGGACTCCATAAGGTGCAACTCTCACCAAGGCCCCCACCACGAATCATCTAATTCCTTTCCAGGTCCAGACTGCTTCCATCCACTAGCTGGGGAAGCAGAGGCCATCTTTGAGTGGAAGAACCCAAGGAAGGAAAATCATTTTCAAAATGTTCTTAACACCCATTGAACCAAAGCAAATGGAAATTTCTCAGGACATTCAAATTGTATCCATTCAAATTATAGAAACAGGCTACTCCATACCAATCACAGGATGATTTATCACACATTCACTCAATATGGAACATTTACTAGTGACCAGTTTCCTGTAACAACAGATTCATTTGGAAACTGCACACTGCAAAAGGCAATCTTGTGACTTTCTTCTAGTTTATCAAAAATACAAATCAGTCTGGGAGTCAGGCACAAACAGTGGTACAAAAGCATGAAGAGAAATACCTTATCTAAGAATGTGCTCGTTTCATATTGCAGAACCCCTATCTAGATTCTGGTTTTTGGAAGCCTGCTGCTGGTTCTTTTGCTCAGAAAGGTTCCTTCACTACACCTCTCTCCCACTCCTACCTCCCCTTACTAAAATTCACTGAACGGGAAACACTTAGTATGGACCTACGTGGAACTAAAAGCCCCAATTTAATTGAATCTCATGTGTCAGCACAGTGGCTGCTGGTTTAATCTGCTCAGCCAGCCTCGTGTATCTAGGGACTTTTTGGATCAGAATTTGAGCCAGAAGCACCCAACACTTCATCTTTGGGAATCCAATAAAATCTCTGACGTACAACTAGAAGTCCCATGAACAAGAGTCTCCGGTTCCAGTTAATGAGATTCAAGGGCGGGAGCAGCAGGAAAAGCTGGGGCGGGGGCAGGAGACGGGCCACGAACCAGCTGTGTGCTTCTCTTTCCTCACTTGTAAGTGAGGGGGCTGAACTCGCGGAGCTCCGGGGTCCTGCCCAGCAGCCGCTCTAGGACTCCCTCCTCAAGTCCATCTCTACACAGGCTCGTCAAGCTGGGTCAGACAAAACTTCCTCACCACTTTGTCTCAACAGTTTAAAGTGGTTGTAAAATACTTCTATGCTGCAGTCTGAGGTCTCCCTCTCTCCCCTACCCCTCAAAGACCAGGTTTCATTTCACTGGTGCAGACCACCTGGCCAAACTGGTGGCTGCTGAGGTTTAAAAGTGAATCACTGTCCTGGTTAAGATGATGGCCTTTGAGTAACCTAGACCAGGGCACATTTGTCTGTTTTTCATGAACAGTGTTAACCAAATAGCAATAGAATTCTGTTAGTTCTTCTATAGATCTACTTTGCAACATGAGATTGTTCAAAAATTACATGAGAAAATCACCCATCACCACTAAGTTAAAGACTTGAGTATCTGAGACCTCCAGAGCCTCGAACTCCTGCTACAGTCACTGATCCACAGCATGTCCCTCTCCGCAACGGGCTCCATGCGAGCGCAGCCCGGTCCGGCAGCAGATCTGTGCACCAAGACGCTGATTTCGAAAGATCTGGCTCTAGTCATCACTGTCACTGCCAGACTCACTCAACTGCAAGTCATTTCCTACAAGACAAAAACCACAGAATCACACCAAAAGTGCGCAATTTAAAAATGACTTCCCCACAATTCTTTGTTTCACCACCTTGGTTATCGCACTATAGTAAAACAAGCCAATTCAACTTAATTAGGGAGGAAAACCGATTTGGCTCAGTGACAAAACTGACGCAGTCAACGTTTTTAAAGAAATGCTATTCTTGATATCTGCAAAGCACAGTGATGCTACGTACTAGGATAGAACAGGGGGAAGCAGGCCAGACAGCTTTTAAATGTGTTAATAAATAGCAAAAAAGTATAAATAACCGATTCACCATCTAGAATCGTTCACATGAAGTTGCTAAAATAACACCGAGTTAGGCTTCCCGTCAAGGAAGCCGAATACTGTTTATACCAGTAACCTGCTAATCCAGCATTCCCTCCTGTTCAGTTACTTTAAACCTCAACTCTCAACTGAAGACTTCAATTACTTTAGCCTCAGATTTTTGTTTAGTGTGCAGAATTCAGGTGTTAGGAGTAAAGAATAGAAGTGCTCAGCGTTTTAATCCGATAGAGTAACAGGACCCAGTTGATAGCACTCAGATTATAGCAAAAGTGAACCGCTATACGACTGGATTGCTACTCCTAGACCAGCCCTTCTCAGTTTGTGTGGAGGACCCCGGGGTCCTTGAGACCCTTTCAGGAGGGTGCTTCCTCTTCTAACTACACACCTGTGTGAGGCCAGATTTTCTTAATATACATCAATCTAGACAACTTATGGCAACAGACTGAACCCAGGTTTCCACTAAGCTAGATCGTAAAGAGATTTGCGAAATTTTAAAGCAATGTTACTCTCTTACTAAGTATTTTTTGATTGGAAAAATTTGTTTTTCATAAAAATGATACTTTTGTTAACATGTGACAGTTTATTATTGTTATTTTAAATGAATTACTGGATAATTTAAATATTTCAGTTTTAATTTCTAATGGTAATATTGAGTGGATATAAGCCACATACACAAAGCTCTTTGGGGTGCTCAATAATTGTTACAATTAAGAGGTCTGACACCCAAGAATGGAACAACTACCGTTCTAAACTTAAGGAAGGCAACAGGGGCCTGGCAAGAGCTGGTAACTCCCAATCAGCTAAGTTGAGCACGATCTCTTAAAAAGTAAGATGATGTGCTTTAACAGATCAGTGGAACTGGAGCTGGAAATCTAGTTTTGAAATTGCTTATATAAAGTTAAGGTCTTGCCACTTGAAGAGCTGCAGATCAGGATGACTTGGTGCGCAATAAAGAGCTAAAAGGATTTTAAGATACTGGTAAGCAGATAACACCCACTGTGCCTTTTTTTTTTTTTTTTTTTTTTGCTCTTTCTTTCTAGGAGGAAAGAATAATTTGGCATTGACTGGGCAAACTCGAGAACTGAGTCAAAGCCACAGTAGCTATCTGGCACTATTCCACTAGGAATACCAAATTCCCAATATGAAATTTACTACTCCTGGCCAACTGAGAATAGCACCAAAGCATCCCGACATCCAGAATGTAGGCCCAGAAAATGGGATAGCAGACAATATCCTCGACTGATATCCTAACAGTGTTCAACTCACTCAAGTAGCGTTTCTCCAGCAGGAGTGGTCTTGCCCCCCAGAGGATATCTGGCAATGTCTTGAGATATTTGGGGCTGACACAACTGGGGACAAGGGAGAGAGAAGGGCATCTACCGGGTAGAGGCCAGGAATGCTCTTAGTCATCCTGCAATGCACAGAACAGCCCCCATGACAAAGATTTATCTGCCCCACAATGTCTGTAGTGGTGAAGTTGAGAATTACCTTCACCTGGTCCACTGTAGTAGGGTTAACTAGGTTAGCTTACCAACTATTGCCTCCAGACCTTCCAACCTCCTCAAAGGCAGTCATGCCAGATGAAAGCATTCATTAGGATACTGGAGAGAGAAGGGCATAGGGAGCAAGCACTCTCCCCATCTCCAATATGAAGAAATCTTTTTTTGTTCTTGTTTTTCTCTCCTTTACTTTAGTATCAACTGCACGGAGAGCCACCCAGATATAGCAATGTCCTTCTTCTTCCTCTTGCCAAAGGCTAGTTGGTTTCCAAATATACCCTAATGGCTCAGGTTCCAAAGTCTATGGGCTGCAGGACACCACAGTCTGGACAACTGTGTTCTTGGGACTGTAAAAAGACCTAGAAGCAGGGGACACTATAGTGGAGGGCATCGCCCCTAAAGCCTGTAAAGCCTGGTAAACGCAAAAACAAAGAGCCGAGCTGTTCATGTTTCAGCATTTTCGAGAATTCACAAAAACTAATTTGTGCCAGTGGGTGAAAAAAAAAGAACAGATTTTCTAGTTTTGTGCTTCCCCAACACCCCCGCCCCTTTTATTTTTTTTAACTGTTTGGTAACTTACTTCTTTCTGCTCCAAATTTTGTCAGGATGCTTTCTTATGCCTTAAATATCTTCTGGTTTACAGACTCGGGTGTAAGATATATAGAAGCTGCATCTCTAGTCTCACATGCCACCCCTCTCTGAGCCAGAAAAGGGAGAGCACACTTACTGAGGGTGTTCATGAGCTGGTTGCTTCCTTGTGGCCGGCTGGTTCCATTGGCAACGGCCGGCCTGCTGTTGTAGGGCTGCTGGTGTGCAGGCTGTGGAGGAGAAGCCGGACCGTTGTCCTCACCCTCGCTGCTGGAGCTGTCATCATCGCTTCCCGACGAGCTCTCAGAGTCTGAGGAACTGCTCCCACTGCTGCTGCTCATCTGCTCAATAATGTCAACTTCAGCCCTCAGCTCTGGAATAAAATGACACGACGGGGGTTAGCCAGCAACCACTCTCAAGGCCGCAAGCTGCCTTCTGTAAATAGTGAATTGGCAAAACCAACAGCAATGAGGAATGACTAAAATTCCTGCTTCTTATTCCTTAAAAACGTATAAACAAAACGACTAAGACCAAAATGAACAAAATAAAACTGTCTTCAGAGAGCGGAAACATTAACTTCACCCCAAATAACAAAAAAGAAAACTGTTTCAGATAATGATGGTTCTGTGTAAATTAAGCCTATTTGCCTTATCTACTTAAAAAAACAAAGACTGTGAATTATGGGATTAAACACCAAATAAGAGAAATATTATGCTAAAGGGCTGAAAAATATTTGACTAGGAATTGGAAGATCTGGGTGCTTGTTTTGGATCTGCCTCTAACCAGCAGTGAGACCGAGGTGGGAGTCAATGATTTTTTTCCAAGACACTTTGAAAAAATAAAAGGCCACAGCAGACAGCCTCTGAGGTCCTTTTCAGCTTTCCTGTCCCACAAAGGAACTGAGGCATGCAGGAGGAACCATGGTAACGGAAGGAAAATGGGGAAACAACATGCCTCCTCTGCCCTCTGTATAGATTTCACTGACAGCCATGCCTTCCAGGTATTACATTTTTTTTTATAGAAGTACAGCAGCGAACGAAAAACATGTTTACCTAACCCTTTCAATGTCGGTGAATACATTAAGGATACCTCATAGGACACATCAAGAAAGATGCCAGATTTTCCTGTCCAAACATACCATGTGATTTTAAACACGCATGGTTCCTTTAGGCGTAACTGTCAATCACTAACCACTCATAGTCCAATTCTTGTTCAACTAAAGTGAAAACTTTAACAAATAGCATTCCAATATCCCTGAGGAAAATCAAAATCAAAATCAAGAACAAAAACAAAACAGGAGGCTTAATAAGCGTGCACCACGCAGAGAATGATTGTTTACTGAAAGCACTTCTATAAGGCAGAAGAGGCAAACTTCTCAAGTACAACTCTATCTTTCCCTGTTTACTACTGCTACAGATTTCATTGTGTTTCATAAAACTTTATAAATCTGAAATACGACAGCCTCATAACTTCCTGAGAGTCTGGACAACGAAAACCACCCCCTCCCTGTATGAGGAGAAAGCCAAAGTGAGAACCCGACCAGACCTCTAGGTCTTTCTAGGCCATGTCCATTTCCAGGTCCCATGGCACTCTCATGTTTACACCCTTTGTTAGTACAAAGCAATGGTCCTGGTATTTTAAATATCCCTCTGACCTAGATACTAGACTAACACTGACACACCTGGTTTTTACCCCAACACCTTGGAATTCTCTTCTCCCAAAACCTTAAAGGCACGGCATATAGACTTTTGGATGACAGTCATGCTTGTTTAAATCCTGGGCCTCTGAACAGAAAGCTGCAAAGACAGCCACAACTCAAGTCACTTGCCTGGACCTCCCTTGTCAAACGAGAGAAGTGGTAACAGTCCCACCTCTGTCACCTCTGGAATGGTGAACTCTGCAGATTATTTTTTCAATGGCAGAGAATGCCCATGCCACCAGTGCCCATGTGATGTCAACATGATAGCCTTGTGATCTCCACAAAAGCCTCAACACCCAACTCCCAGTGGCTATCAGTTCCAGAAAATGCTCCCTACCTCTTTTGATGTCATCCAGCTGAGGTTCAGGTGAAGGGTTATCTTTCAAAGGAGAAGTTTTGGGTCCAACTGGAGGCTTTGTCGGAGCTCTGAATGGCAGAGGTGGTGGAGGTGGTGGTGGCTGAGATGGCTGTGGGGGACGAGTGGGCTGCTGTTCCATTCGGGCTTGGATTTTACTGCTCCCCTCAGCTCTAAAATGAAAAACAGACATTAAATTGCAGGGCCAAAAACAGTGCTCCTCAAATCTGTTCAGGTAACCAAGTACCTAGAGGTCTCTGCACAATCGTGCTTCTCTACACACTACTTCAAAATACTGATGTTTGTCACTTTATCCCATGAACTACTCACTCAACAACTGCCTACTGCATTCCGGTACTGCACTACGCACCAGAGATACAAAGATGAATAAAACAGCCCTCAAGAAGCTCACATTTTATAACAAGCAAATAAAACCGATATGCAGGACACAACGTGATCGTGAGAACCCATTTTACCAGCACACAATAGGACTACTTGACTTGTATACGGTATAAAGTTATAGTCACAAGTATATGAGTTACTACATAAAACCAGCTCTTGAAATGCTGGCTAGTTTGCAAGTTTTCCCACGATCTGTTTACTGCCTGTTCATCTTGTCACGCGCCAGCTCTTGCAGGCGGACAAGCAAAGCATCCCACCCCAACGGGAGAAAATTCTATTCACTAACAATTTCTTTTGTAAACGGATGAGCCCACTTTCGGCTTTTGAACTTTGGTGGGCACACAGATCGCCTGAGGATCTCATTAAAATGCAGATTCCAACTTAGCAGGTCCTGAAATTCTGCACTTTAAAAAGCATCCAAGTGATCAAATGCTGCTAGTCCATAGATGACAGCGAGTAGTGAGAGAAATGCCCACAAACATCATCTGTTGGGGAATTAACAGTGGTACCTGGTTCGGGGAGGTAATTAATACAAATCTATCCCAGGCAGGAGAGGAGCAGGGGGCTTGGACGTGCATGCCCAGGCTAAGGGCTCTGTTCTGATGCTGGACTCCGGTTCACAGGCTCATGAATCCGCAGTCTCTTCGTGTGTGTGTGTGTGTGTGTGTGTGTGTGTGTGTGTGTGTGTGTGTGTGGTTTTTTTGTTTGTTTGTTTTTACAGATAATGATAGTACCTTTCTAAATGTTATTTGTAAAGTTAGGTAGGATAATGCATGAAAGCATTTAGCATAGTATTCAGTAACCCCTCAATAAATGGTAGCTACTTTTTTTCTGGAATGAGTAAATGAAGAAGCATAAACAGAAAAATATCAGGCTATAACACTCTCTTTAAGAATTTAGGGCTGTATTGGGGCGCCTGGGTGGCTCAGCTGGTTGAGCGGCCGACTTCGGCTCAGGTCATGATCTCGCAGTCCGTGAGTTCGAGCCCCGCATCAGGCTCTGTGCTGACAGCTCGGAGCCTGGAGCCTGTTTCGGATTCTGTGTCTCCCTCTCTCTGACCCTCCCCCGTTCATGCTCTGTCTCTCTCTGTCTCAAAAATAAATAAACGTTAAAAAAAAAAAATTAAAAAAAAAAGAATTTAGGACTGTATCACAATAACTGCTGTATCACAATGTAAAAAACAGAACCAGTGGGTTGCTTCTATTCATAGAATGAATTCTGACTTTAAAATTTAATTGGCTTTGTATTACAAATGTAAAGCCTGTTGAATTAAAGATTAAAGAGAACTCACTATTTACAAAAATAGGCAGAACTTGGGGCGCCTGGGTGGCTCAGTCGGTTAGGCGTCCGACTTTGGCTCAGATCATGATCTCAGTTTGTGGGCTCAAGCCCCGCATTGGGCTCTGTGCTAACAGCTCAGAGCCTGGAGCCTGCTTGGGATTCTGTGTCTCCCTCTCTCTCTCTGCCCCTTCCCTGCTCGTGCTCTGTCTTTCTCTGTCTCTCTCTCTCTCTCACAAAAATAAACATTCAAAAAAAAATTTTTTTAATTAAAAAAAATTTAAAAAATAGGCAAAACTTTATTTTAGTGTTATAAATACCTCAAATGCATCTTGCGAAAAATTAATGTTTTTAATCTAATTACAAGTCTACAAGTTTAAATCTTATCCTCTTAGGTGGTACTATTTGAACAATCATGAAATTAATAAAATAGATTTAATTATAAAATATGTCCCTTTCCCCTGTGGCTTCCACGTTTCAGGTCTTAAAAGCTTTTATTTCTTTTTATTGCATTTGAGGAAGTGGTATTTTACTGACTTATTGAGAAGACACAGGTAGAGTTGTTGATATTATCGACAGGACACTGAATACTCAGATGCTCATATCCCTCTAAAATAACTGAAGAGATAATGCAAAGATCTAGAAACCCTGTATCAATCTGTATCTGGTCATTCACGTACCTTGTTTTCTTGACCTGAATGCTGCTACTGAGTTTTTCCAGCACATATTCACCAGTGTCATGATTAATAATAAGCACACAGTCTTTCTGATAAGGCCGTTTGTTCCCCTTGAACACAGTCATTGGTGGTGTGGATCCCTATATGCCACAAAAGTAGAAGATCAAACCAGACACACCAGTTATGAAACATTAAAAACGAATTTACAAGTGGCTTCATGAGTATCAGAGCTACTCAAACAGAATTGAATGAACTGATTTCTATTTTAACTCCTCTGGCTTCCTAGGCAAAAAGAAAAGGGATATAATATACAGCAAGAATCTATAACTGTGCAACTACTTCTCAGTAATCAAGAAAGGTAATATAAATTTTCAAAATTACCGTACATTTTTCTAAAGATTCAAAACATGTTACAAATAATGGTGAGGTATGAACTAGTAAAAACAGATTAACCATTACTTGGTATTATACTGAGTAGAACTTTTCATTGCAAGAAGTAAAACTAATACGTGATTTCTGTATTTCCTTGTAATTTCAGAGTCCAGGGCTTCCCCTCATGCCAAGTAACCAACAGAGTATTCTCTAAGGGCAGCTCATTATTCTGCTTGGCTCAGAGTAAGTACATCATGCCACTCACCTGCCTAAGCCCTTTAACTGCTAACCTGTTGCTCTGAGACCCAAGAATAAAATCTCTAAACCAGATACCTGGCCCTTCTGCCTCACCCTGTACCCCTAGCCCTAGGCTCTGCAGGATCCAGAGTAGAAGGTGGCTGGCCTCTCTCAGATCCTCATGCTCTTTCTTGCAGGGCTTTAACAAGGCTTCTGCCTGCAACATCCTGCCTCTTCCTCTCTTTCAATTACTCAACCTTCAAATCTGCTCAAAGGTCACTTCCTTAGAGAAACCTTCCTGATTTTCTAAAATAAATGGCTGTGCTTTTTATATTTATTTAATTCCAGATCATAAGCTCCCCAAGGGCAAGAAAAGTGCTTGTTTTGTTCGAGATTGTATTCTCAGTGCTTAGTAACGGGCCAACACATAGTAGGCGCTCAATTAATATTTGACATATATAGGATTTGATTGTATGGAATAAAAAAAAATTGGTTGGCTCCTTGACTCCTTATTCATAGGCTAAAAACTTAGAGTTGGGAGGGACCCTAGAGACCATTTATCTAACCCCTTCATTTTACATTTGGCAAACGAAGATCCAAAGGGAGATGATGTAATCTGCTAAAGGCAACATGCAATGAAATAGCAGCTGGAACTGGCAGACAAGTAATTTCTACTCAGCCTGAAGCTTCTTGTCCAGAGCCTTTTCATCCTATTACTGGTTACCAAGACCTTACTATGTTCCAGGACAGGGCTGTGACATCCAATGACACCTGTTCATTATGAGCATTTTGTCTGATCCTTCAGGCTGTGTGATTATAGTGCTACTTTGGACAAAGCTTCAAAAAAAAAAAGTCTCTCTCCGTAGGGGTTCTCAATTTAACCTTTAATTGGGTTCCTCATCCCTAAATTAGCTGAATGCTCTGATCCTCTGGTGCTTGGTTGCAACTTTCAGTCTGCAGTCCGCCCTTTGCCTGATGTATGAAAGGTGTCAATTCTGCTCCTGCCTGTCTTAACTCCTGGTTTGGCTGTGCCACACGCCTAAACTGTTGTTGCTATAAGCCAACATGGCGTCGAGGGCTTTGCTCTTTGGAGCTGTGTGGGGGAAAAGCTAGGCCAATCTGAAAGAGCGGCTAGAGGGGCTAAGTATCCAGACAGGAACCTTGTCTACTTGGTAGCAGATGGGGGAAAGCGGAGCGTGGGAAAAATGGCAAAGAATCCTTTTTACTCAAGCACTTGGGAAACATGAATTCCACCCTACCCCATCCCCCCAATTCCCTTTTTCCTTATGTTGGAATTTTAGAAATCTAAAAATTTTTAAATAGTAGGAAAATTCAAATTGCAATAAATAGAATATGAGGATTCACTGTGATTCCACGGTGCATAAACTTACAGGGATATGTGGCAGGGTAATTGTGACTTCATCTCCTTTGCCAACCTGAAGCTCTCCTTCACAGGAAGTGTCTATGGATGCTGGCTTAAAGTCATCTAAAGGGAAAAGCAAAAGAATATTTATCCAGCCGGTTACTTATACTAAGCCTCCTGGTCATTCTTGTTTAAGAATTAAAATTTTTTTGTGAGTCAGATAAATGGAAAAATACAATGTAGAATTTAAAAAACCTATTTCATTGTGGAAAAAAAGCAGAGAATAGTACAATGAGCCCCTGTGTACTGTCACCCAGGTTCAAGAAGAATTACGAACTCAGGGACAATCTTGTTTTCTCTATACCTCCTACATACTTTGCCTCCCATCCCTGCTGGATTATTTTGAGGGAAAAAAAAAAGCTAGAATTCATATACCATTCTATTAAGCAAAGATATTCCCTTCTCCCAAGTGACACATGAAAATTAATGCCTTCTTAGCCAGAGGGGTTTTGTTAGGATTGTTGTGTACAAGATCAAAAGCAACAGAGCATATTAAAAAGATTCTGTGACTGTAACACCCTATATGAAACAGGAAAGCCCCAGTATCATATAAGCTGATTTCATTTTGCATAGAAACTGTCAACATTAGGATTTCCTACACTCAAGTTCTTATAAAAGTACAGAACAGATGGTTGAACTCTATCTCCAAAGGTTAATCCTGCCCATCTCTCTCAACTGCTGCTAACGTGCACCACGAACAGCCATCTTACTCCATTCTGACATAAACTGGCCTCACACTGCAGGCCACGTGCATACATGAAGTGTCTCACTTAAATTCCACATTGCTCTTCCCTCTACCAAAACATCGATTTAGTAAACTGCTCCGCAAACGATGCTCTTATCACATTCCCAATATCCTCCCTCTGAAAGAGCTGATCTGCTGTCAGTAGGAGACACAATAATGGTCTGGCAAGTGACCGCAGAAATATGGAACTTCATTATCTAACACGCCCTCTTCCAATGTGTTGAGTCACATTTATTAGCTCCTTAGACAAAAACAAGTCTTAACCAGCATTAGGGCTGACGGATACCAGAAGCTTGTGAATCACACAGAAGGATGCTCAGCCAACCCATCCCTAAGAGCCAAAACTTTACCCAGGACATAGAGTGGACATGCTCTCCCTCCACAGAGTCTATAATCATGTAGAAAAGGAAGGTCCAGCATAACGACTATTTGGACATTCTTGATGCCTCCTCTCCCCCGCTTCCAAGCATACATCAAGCTTTATCAAGGCTCACGCGTTCCAATTTTATTCTTCACTCACATGGGACTTGGTACTGAGTTAAAGTCGGGGTAGTATAGATCACCTCAAAAGACAGCAGAGTCAAACGAGGTACAGAAAGCTGGAGGAGGAAGACGGATGGAGCGCACAAAGGATGCGGATTCTTTGGCTACCAAGGGGATGAAGCGCAGGCTCAGGGTAACCAGAACAAAGACGAACGAGGAACGAAGGCTAAGGAACACAGGGAAGAGGAGAATGTAATAGGAATGAGTCGATAAGGCTCATCGGCAAACGGGAAGAGTCCTTTAAACGTGGAGGACCCCGCTGGGGTCATCAGAAAGTGGGACGGATTACAGGGAGAAGTGGAGTCTGATGTGGGGTCACAGTCTTTTGGTAATAAAGAGGGGTAAGTTTCGAATAAAGCAGGGCTGGGTGGGCGGATGAAAAACAAAGGAGTCAATAACCTTCGGAAGAAGTAGTTGGGACCACAAGGCAGATGGGTAGTTGGGAGTGGCGAAGCGTTGCGTTTGGGGAGTGAGCTGGAAAAGGGGGGAGGGGAGGAGGGGAGTGGAATCGAGGTCCAGGAGGATCTGGGCGAAGAGAGAAGGGAGCTGACGTAGGCAGGAGGTTCCCTGGGCTTTGGAGGAACGAGGGAAGAGAAGAAGGAGTCGGGTTGGCAAGAGGAGGCGGAAGGGAACAGAGGGGAGGGCTGGCTTACAGCGAATGGTGTGGAAAGAGGCCCGCGGTCGCTTCTCGAAGCTCTCCCCGAGCCGCAGGCAGTGTTCCTCGCGGTCCAGCAACGGGTTCGCGGTTCCGTTCATGGCCCCCCACGAGCCTAGCGCCCGGACCGGCGCTCTCCTGGCGCGGCCGCGGTCCGAGCTTCCGGCGCCGGCGTCCGGGGAAACGAAGCTCCCGGGACAGCGCTCGGGGGCGCACGGCGAGCCGAGCCGGCGCCCACCCGGGGCCGGAAGCAGGTCCTCGCCTCTGCGGCGGGGTGGAGGAGGACTGCGCGGAAGCAGGGCCGCGGAGCTTCCGGCGTCGGGGAGGGACTTCTGCGTTCGTGACGGAAGTGGCGGGGGCAGTGGCGGCGGCAGTGCCATAGCCAAAGGGTTCCGCCGGGAGAGGTCCTCGAGGGGGGTTTGTCCCCGGACCGAAGCTCCCTGATCCGGCTTCCGAGGGCGGGTCCGGGCTGAGGGCTGAGTGCGTCCGTCCCTACCCGTCCAGGTGAATGTAAGAAGTGATGACGGTGAGCCCAAGCGCGGCGAACTAGATGAACACGGGTCTGACAGCCAGTGTGGCCGGCTCTCCGCAGGCCCGGGCGGCCCGGGCGCCCTAGTTTCTCCCGAGCGTCCGGAGCCCTACGGACCCTACCCCGCGCGTCACTGGCCTCTTACCCTTCACGCGTTAATGGAGGAGCGAGAGCCTCAGCCCCTGGAAAACGGCGCTACCCTCTGATTCATGAGACGGCCTCTTAGGTGTGTGATCAGAATCTCAGGCCGCCGGGCTTGACTACAAATTCCGCCCCCCCCCCCCCCCCCCCCCGAAACTGGGTCTCGGATCCTTGGGAAATGATCACCCCACTTGACCGCCCGTCGCCATTTCGGGAAGCTGGTGTGGTTGTTTTAAGTCACCCTTTCACGGGCATTAAAAATTGATGTTTCCTCCCTAAGATTTCTCAGTCACTTCTTGGGAGTGTCCTTTTACTAAACCAAACCGATTTAGTATTATTATATTTTTTTAATGTTTATTTATTTTAAAGAGAGGTAGAGACAGAGCACGAGTTGGGGAGGGACAGAGGGAGAGAGCGAGAGGGAGACACAGAATCCCAAGCAGGCTCCAGGCTCTGGGCTGTCAGCACCGAGCCCGACCCAGGGCTGGAACTCACAAACTTTAAGATCATGACCTGAGCTGAAGTGGGACGCCTAACGGACCGAGCCACCCAGGCGTCCCTAAACCGATTTATTATTCTAATAAAGTTAACTTGTTCTGGTTTGAACTAGAGTTTGGTGCGTGAGAGCCCTGGCCACGGAATGTAAGCCCTCTGAAGGTAGGGATTGTGTCTTGGGCTTCTTTCTGACCGACCTCTTGTAGAGTGGGCAGGGTTTTTGTGTTGAGTCAGCATCTAGTATGTGGTGAGTTGAACTGTTTGGTGAAAGAACCGTTCTAAAGCGACTAACCAGCGTCTTAAAAACTGTCCTAGAACCACTAACCGGAATCTCCTTTTTCCTGCAAAGCACCCAGTGCTGCCCGAGGCTTGAGCCCAACGTGAAGAACCACATTTGGAAAAATCCTTCCTATGTCCGCAGTATCAGCTTGGATTACTCAGGTTACTCAGGGTTGGGGAATCTTCAGCAGTGTTAAATATATTACCATCGACTTATGGGATGGCTTCTTTGCAAAGGAAAGGGCTGCAGGCAAGAATTCTCAGCGCTGAAGAAGAGGAGAAATTGAAAAGAGACCAGGCTTTAATGTCTGATTTTAAACAGCAAAAACTGGAAAAAGAGGCTCAGAAGAACTGGGACCTTTTTTACAAAAGAAATAGCACTAACTTCTTCAAAGATAGACACTGGACCACCAGAGAGTTTGAGGAACTCAGATCATGTAGAGAGGTAAACTAATATTGAACCTTGTTTGAGTTTTTCATTTCAAATGTGAAGAGGAGTGTTTATTGCCTTCCTATGGGTCTCCAGTGGATTTAGTAGGTCCTGGGTAGGTCCTGGGTTGTATGTAGGAAAGAGAGCTTTCGAGGGCATTTTCTGTTTCTTAAAGCCAGTCTGAAAGTCATAAATATTGAATTCATACTGGGTGACTTCAGTGACAGATTCAGATTCATAATAAAGACGATAAACACTTTACCACGGCCCTTTTCTAGAACTCTACATGTTGTGTAATTTAAGCCCTACAAAAACAGTGTGAAGTAGGCATCATTGTTATCCCTACTTGCAGGTAAAACGGGGCACAAAGCTCTTTTAAGAGAGTTGTCTAATGATAGAACATGGTGAGGGAAGAAGTCCAGATTTGAGTGCAAGCAGTTTAGTCCCAGAGCCTGTTATTTTAGCTATTATCCTGTGTTTTCTTCTTTTTTTTTTAATGTTTATTTATTTGAGAGAGAGAGAGAGAGAGAATCCCAAGGAGACACCATGCTCAGCATGGAGCCCATCTTTGGGCTTGATCTCACCACTATGAGACTCTTGAAATCAAGAGTCGGTGTGGTTTATATACACAATGGAGTACTATGTGGCAATGAGAAAGAATGAAATATGGCCTTTTGTAGCAACGTGGATGGAACTGGAGAGTGTGATGCTAAGTGAAATAAGCCATACAGAGAAAGACAGATACCATATGTGTTCATTCTTATGTAGATCCTGAGAAACTTAACAGAAGTCCATGGGGGAGGGGGAAAAAAAAAAAGAGGTTAGAGAGGGAGAGAGCCAAAGCATAAGAGACTCTTAAAAACTGAGAACAAACTGAGGGTTGATGGGGGGTGGGAGGGAGGGGAGGGTGGGTGATGGGTATTGAAGAGGGCATCTTTTGGGATGAGCACTGGGTGTTGTGTGGAAACCAATTTGACAATAAATTTCATATATTAAAAAAAAAGAAAAGAAATCAAGAGTCGGATGCTGTGGGGTGCCTGGGTGGCTCAGTTGGTTGAGCACTCGACGTCAGCTCAGGTCATGATCAAGAGTTCGTGGGTTCCAGCCCCACATCAGGCTCTCTGCAGTCTTTGCAGAGCCCACTTTGCATCTTCTGTTCCCCTCTCTCTCTGCGCCTTCCTGGCTCCTGCTCGCCCTCTCTCTCAAAAAAATAAAACATTAAAAAAGAAAGGGAGGGAGGGATGCTTAATCGACCGAGCCACCCAGGTGCCCCTGCTGTGTTTTCTTTATACTAAGCTGCCCAGTGTTGGACGACAAGCAAGGTATCAGTATTAGCTTTAGGTTCTCAGTTCACTTGTTTACTGTCTGCCCCATGGGGGCAGAAACCTTGCTTCTCCTGTTTGGAGACATGTTGTAGGTTGGTTTGTTTCTCGATGATGCAAACGACTTTGCATCTCTTTCCCCAGTTTGAAGATCAAAAATTGACTGTGCTTGAAGCTGGCTGTGGTGTTGGGAACTGTTTATTCCCGCTTTTAGAAGAAGATCTGAATATCTTTGCCTATGCCTGTGACTTTTCTCCAAGAGCAGTTGAGTATGTCAAGGTTGGTGCCTTGTCCATGTTTCTGTTATGTTACTGTTTTCTTAGATTTCTTTGACCTGCCCTCTCTGCCCATTTGCTTATTAATTCCAGTTCTCTCTTTGAAGCTAACCAGCTATGACCACCATGAATGTGTTTTTCCTGTTTAAATACCTGTATCATACATACAGAAACATAGCTTTGGGGTACCTGCATGGCTCAGTCAGTCGAGCATCTGACTCTTGATTTCAGCTCAGGTCATGATCCCAGGGTTGTGGGATTGAGCCCTGCATTGGGGCTCTGCACCTCTCCTCTGCTCATGCTCTGTCTCTAAAATTAAAAAAAAAGAAAAGAAAAGAAACACAGCTTTATTCAGAAAAGTAGAAAGAACTACCAAAATGATACCCATATGCTTCTACCTAAATTGAATGATTGCCAGAATTTTGTACATTTACTTTATAGACTTTTTTCTTTGCTCAACTATTTTTTTTTTTTAATTTTTTTTCAATGTTTTTTATTTATTTTTGGGACAGAGAGAGACAGAGCATGAATGGGGGAGGGGCAGAGAGAGAGGGAGACACAGAATCGGAAACAGGCTCCAGGCTCTGAGCCATCAGCCCAGAGCCTGATGCGGGGCTCGAACTCACGGACCGCGAGATCGTGACCTGGCTGAAGTCGGACGCTTAACCGACTGCGCCACCCAGGCGCCCCAGATTACAGTTATTTTAAATGCCCAAACTTCTAGTTCCTATATCTGTGTCATATTTGAGTCTGGTTCTGATGATTGCTTTGTCTCTTCAGACTATTTTTTCTTGCCATTTGGTATGCCTTGTACTTTTTTTTTCACTGAAAGTCAGGTATGTTATGTAGGGCTATGGATACTGAGGTCATAAGGATTTGTAATAATCTAGACAGGAGTTTAGCTGTGTTTGAAATCTGTTATTGTTATAGTTACCTGTGAGGTTTATCGTTGCTATGGCCACCAGAGACTTCAGAGTCCTCTGGTGACTTGGTTTATGTCACCCCTTTTGGCTTTGGGTCTGCTCTTCATACTGTTCCTCGTAAAGATCCTCTCTCTTACAACTTTCCCAGCTGCAATCCACTGTTGTTATTACCACTGGAGACTTGGTAAGGTGTGGGAGAAGGGATTGTCATCTAATGTTCTGATTCTCAGTTTTTGAACTGTAGAGTGGGCCTGTGTCTCAGGTGTGGCCTTCACAAGTGTGTCTGCGCTCTAGGACTAGAGCTTTCCTCTCCTTCATTGTGTGTAGCCCACTCACAGGTCCCTTCATGGTCTGAGGCCATTCTCCCTTCAGATCAAGACTAGGTCTATCAATCCCCAGCACCTCCACCAAAAAAAAAAAAAAAAAAGACTAGGTCTGGGGGGCGCTGGCTCAGTCCGAAGAGCATGCAACTCTTGATGTTAGGGTTGTGAGTTCAAGCCCTACATTGGGTGTGGAGATTACTAAAAAAATAAACTTAAAAAAAAAAAATTAAGAATGGGTCTGGGCAGAGCAGTTTCCTCCCCTCTTGGCAGTGGTATTTCGCTAGTACCCTAAGGCTGCAGGCTTCAGGAGACCTTTCCCCTGTAGTTTGAATCTTTTCTTCCTTAAAGGAGATGAGAAAGTTCAGTACTAGATGGAGCACCATCTTCTCTGTGAGAGCCCCGTGATGTTCTTGGAAGAAACACCTATAAAAAGATGGGAGTGTTCCTGTTAGTTCCACCCCCAGAGGCCCAGAGGCTTCACGCTATAACATCCGCACTCAGTCTACAGCAGTTTGTCAAATTTCTAGTTTTATCTTTCCAGTTTGGGGGTTTCTGCCTCAGGTAAGCAAATGCTTCGGTCCTGTCTCTCCCTGAAGGCACTTATCTGTCTCCAGGTTGGGGGATGGCTGCTGGTTCGTTGGCTCTATTCTTTGATGGGTTCACAAAAAAGCCATTACTTGGCTGTCTGTCCATCTTTTTTCTTATTGTAAGGATGGGAGCTGCATTTTTATACTACTGTACGTCTTTGAACTGAAACCAGAACCTTTAAGTCACCTGGGTAACCAATTGTCCTTTAACACAAGTGTATAGCTAGTTGTTCTAACACAATACGTTGAATGAGAAAATTCATTTTTCTTCCCTGATAATTGTCACTTTTATTGTCTACCTTTTTTGATATGTCATCTTTGTCACTTGTCTTTTGTCATATGCGATACTAAATTCCCCTATATACGTGGGTCTGTTTTGGGGACTCTGATCTGTCTTCGTAGTCTATTTGTCCCCATTCTCAAACTTCATTGTTTCAGTACTGCATTTTGTAGTAGGTTTTGAAGTCCAGTGGTGTACCTCCTCCTTCATTGTTCTTCAGTTTAAAAATTGGCTTGGCTATTCCTAAAGATTTTTGCTTCCAGGTGAATCAAATTTGCCTTTGTGTCAAGTTTCGAGAAATCTATTGGGATTCTATTGAGATTGCATTGGATTTAGAAGCAGATTTATAGGTAGAATTGACGTCTTTTCAATATTGAATCTTCCCATCCAAGAACTTTGTATTTATTCGAGTCCTTATTTACATTAAAGAAAGGTTTGTGGGGCGCCTGAGTGGCTCAGTCAGTTGAGCGTCCAACTTTGGCTCAGGTCATGATCTCACAGCTTGTGAGTTCGAGCCCCACGTCAGGTCTGTGCTGACAGCTCAGAGCCTGGAGCTGCTTCGGATTCTGTGTCTCCCTCTCTCTGCCCCTAACCCACTCACATTCTCTCTGTCTGTCTCAAAAAAAAACATTAAAAAATTTTTTTTCTTAAAGAAAGGTTTGCTATTTTTTTATAATGCTCTTATAAGATCTTAGACTTCATGATACTCTTATATTTATAAGAGTATTATATGTATTTTTTTTGATAATGCTCTTAAACCCCCCATTCAAAATGTACAGGAACACACTTGTTTAAAAAAAAAAAAAAGTGGGGGTGGGGCGGGGAAGAAGAAGAAATTTGGTTTATTTGGCTTGCTGTCTCAAGGGAAAATATGCAGAAATGTGGGAGCATCTCCATGAGTGGATTGGGAAGGACTTCTCAGAGGATTTAGGCTTGTAATGGGTGATTTCAAAGGAGGATTAAGGAAGCACGGGTCAGTTTTGACTTATCCCTCTAGAAATCTACGCTTCTAGAATGCGCAGCTTTGAACATGTGATATCTCCTCAGTGTTCTATCCTCAGTTAAAGATGATTTGTTAAAATGAAATCTTGCCCCTCCTAGTAACAGCAAATGCTACATGCATTAGCGTGCAAATGGCACATTAGTCAGTTTTACCCAGTAACAAAGTGATCTGTGATTTTTGTGTAGCAGTGCACAAGTGGAAATAGATCCATTTTCCATCGGATCTCCTTTTGATGCTGTATTTTTCTCTGTGTGTCCACATGGGTGTCGCATTAAAATTCTTTTCTTTTTCCCCCTTCTCTAGCAAAATCCTTTATATGACACAGAAAGATGCAAGGTGTTCCAGTGTGATCTAACCAAAGATGACCTTCTGGAACATGTGCCCCCAGAGTCCGTGGATGTTGTCATGTTGATATTTGTCCTCTCTGCTGTTCACCCTGATAAGATGCACCTTGTCTTACAAAACATTTACCAGGTTAGTAATTTGGAGCCTGGAGGTTGGACGTCCTGATCTTTTTGCTTACCTCCCCTCTGAGGCTCATGTCTAGTTCACAAAGCCCCCTCATTCTCACTAGGTGTAGGCCATGCAGTCAGTGTATCGAAGGGGTTCTCCTACATAAAACATTCAGTTTGAATTCTGGTTTGTCTGGTAGCCATCACTGCTCTTCAGTTTGGCCAGCTTTGGAGTGAGGATGATTTTGTAGTTATCTGGGCTCTGTGCATGGAATAACATGCAGATAGTCCCTGCTGGAAAAGGAGAAGAAGATATGGTTCGGGGTCAAGAATGTAGTCCGGCATCAGAGTGCCTAGAGACGATACCTGGCTTCCCTGCTTAGGCAAGTTTCTTTACCTCCCTGAGCCTCAGTTTCATTACCTATGTAATACTGAGATACTGAGATGAAATACACGCAATATGTATAAAGTGCTTAGCACAATGCCTAGAAGGTGGTAAGTGCTCTTCAAAAATCAGCCATTGTTGTCACTATCATCATTGTTGCCAGAATGAGGAGAACCCAAACTTCTCTGGCCATCAGGAGGCTGCTGTAGCACTCAGGAAGTAAAGCATCACTCTTAACTCATGTGACTCAAGACAAATCACGTCATCTTCCTTCTGTGGGCTTCAGTGTCCTTGGCTGTAAAATGGGGGTGTCTGTTAGGGTTATTGTGAGATGCAGGTGAGATCATGAATGAGGCTGCTTGTAAACTACGGTAGAAGCTCTCTTATCTGTGGCAACAATGTTGATTAAAGATCAATTAAGTCATTTTATTATGACTTAAAATATGTTAATACTCTTTTATCACTCTTTTGATGTAGAGCCACAGCCCTTTCTTTTGAGTATGGGGCTATTTACCATTTTTCTTACCATCTTATGAACCACATACATAGTAGCATAGTAGAGTTCTGGCTTCTTTAAAAGTGGAGCAAAGACTTAACAATGATTGGAAACTTAACGCAAGGGCAAATTTTTTTATATTTTTAACCTAGACTTACCTTTGATTCTCCCATGTCTAACAGCAGTTCAGTGCTTCTCTATCAAGTCTTTCCAAAAGTTTCAGTGTACTTTTCAGAGAAAATAAAAATGCTCTTTACTTGCATTGCATTGTTTATATATTCATATATAATTCTAAATCTAAGTACAGCTGGTGTAAGCAAGTTTGGGAACCAACACAAGTGACCAGTGGTACGCATGCAGGTCACCTGGGGGCCACTAAATGGCAAGGGCACACAATGTGGAAAGCCTGTTAAGCCTCACCTGTTCAGTGAGTCAGAGGCCTCAGTCAGTCTCCTTTATAAAAGGGAGAGAAGAACATTCAGCAAGTTGAAAAAGTAGACGTTTTAAATGTTTTTTAAGTAGCGAAACAAATTTCAAGACACTGGAAACCTTTTAGGGAGTAATTCTCACTTAAAACAACATTTTAAGAAATTCAGATATTGCCATGGTGGTTTCAGCTCTCTGCTCATGAGGTTTTGTAAGGTTTTTTCTCCTTACTTCCCCTTTCCCTGCCCCTGGTATCCGAGCAGATGAGAACCCAGAATATACCCACAAATGGGCATGGAACTGAAGCTGAGTAAAGAGGGAAGAGAGGGCATCAGGGAAAAGATGGTAGGATCACCTGATTTGAAGGTCCAGGTGAGGACAAAGGATGATGAAAGATGGGGAAGTAGAGAGAGCTGAAAAGATGGGGCAGGGGGGAATGACCAAGGTGACTTGTATGACACTGAGAGACCGGAGGGGTTATGCTTTTTAGTGTTGACAAGACTTCAGGACGTTACCATGGGAGTGAGTGGTTTAGAAGGGTAAGACCTTGGAAAAGTTCAAGTCATTAAGAGGCCAGCATATTTGGAGGGATAATCCACATATATTGAAATTACTCTGAACTAAGAATGGAGTAGTATTAAGGAGAGGAGAATAAATCAGAAACATTCATCCTGAAACAGGGAAATGACCCTGGCACTGATAGATGACAGTAATATTAAGGGATAGCAGATGATATAATCTGATGACAAGAGATTCAGAGCTAGGGATTTTAGGGAGGAAAGAGAATACATGAGAAAGTAGCAATGAGAAGCATGGAGGGCGCCAGCCTCATCTCTAAGCCCAGTGGTACAAAGGTGAGGAGAGAAAACAGCCATGACTTGAGAGGTTGCAGGGAAAACAGTGTCCTCAGGAACAGTCTGTTAGCACCAGGATGTGAAAGGAACATTGAGAAGAGGTGGATACTAGTGATTTCACTGATGAAAGGTTTCAGGGATTGGAGAGAAGTAGGAGTTGGGGACAGAATAAAGAGCATCTGGAACTCGATGGGGCGAGAGTGCCTACTATCAGTTTTGCTTTTCAGCATTATCCTGGTGGTCCTAATCAGCTCAAAAAGACAAGAAAGAAAATAAAAGATGGGGGAAAAATAGGGATGAAAGACAAAACTCATTTGCAAATAATGTAATTGTCTAATTAGAATATATTAAGACTATAAAAGTATAAGATGAACGTACTCTGCTTAATGTCACAGAGCTATTCACACCTAACGAAGAGTAACATGCATTGTGCAATCTTACTTTTCTATTTAATATTATACATTTTATTTTCTTAATTTTTAAAAAAAAATTTTTGTGTGTATTTATTTATTTTGAAAAAGGGAGAGAGAGAATCTCAAGCGGGCTCCGCACTGTCAGCACAGAGCCTGATGTAGGGCTCAAACCCACACACCATGAGATCATGACCTGAGCTGAAACCAAGAGTCGGAGGCTTAATTGACTAAGCCACCCACGTGCCCCCTATACATTTTATTTTTTGTTGTTGTTTGATTGATTGGAGGTTTTGGGTAGGGTTTTTTTGTTTGTTTTTTGAGCAAATTGACAAGGTGGTTCTAAGTTTACATGAAAGGACAAAGATCAAAACACTTCTGAAGAAAAACAAAACGGGGGAAATCTGTACCCTACCAGATGAAAAGACTTCTTACTGCTACAGTAATTAAGATAGAATGATGTTAGCAGGGGGACAACTTGAATGTGATAGCTTAAACACAGATCCACGCATACATAGGAATTTGATATATGGTAGAAGTGACAATGAAGATCACTAGAAAAATAGGGACTGTTCAGTAAGTGATGCTGGGACCACTGGGTGTCCATGTAGGAAAGAATGATTGTACTTCTCCTTCACATCCTATACAAAAATCATTCTCGGGTGAATTAAAGACTTAAGTGAAAAAGACAAAAATTTAAGCCCTTCAGAAGAAAATACAGGAAAAAATCTCTATGACCTCACAGTGTAGAGTTTTTTCAAAAGATGACTCAAAGCATTCTAAGCATAAAGATGATTATAACAAAAGTAGGAATTTCTGCTCTTCAAAAGACAATATAATACAAAGAAAAAAAACCCAACAACTTTGGAAAAGTGAGTTAAAGTCTATAAACTGTTCAAAGATTAGTACCCAGAATACGTGAGAAATTCCTGTGAAAGAAGTACAAGCAAATTAATAGAAAAATGGGCAGATGTGAGTAGTCGTTTTATTGAAGAGAACACACATATGAAAAGATTATCTCAGTAACCCAGGAAATGTAAAATAAAACCCCAATGAGATACCGCTAGGTTAACCAAATTAAAGAAGTCTGACAAAGCCAAGTATTGTTGAAGGTATGCCTATTCTTGACTTAAATAGAAACATACAGGGGCGCCTGGGTGGCTCAGTCGGTTCAGCGTCTAGCTCTTGGTTTCAGCTCAGGTCACGATCTCGCCGTTTCGTGACTTTGAGCCCCGCGTCAGGCTCCACGCTACCAGCGCAGAATAGGATTTAATAAAATTAATGGAATTTTCTGCCTCCCCCACTCGCGCTGTCTCTCTCTCTCTCAGGGTAAACTATTTAGAAAAATTTTAGTGGAAACATACAGTATATTATTTATATTTTAACAGTAATGAAATTTTTTTATTATTATCCAGTTGAGCTGTCTCAGTCCACACCTGGCCCCTGTTGTAACCTTTCTTTGGTAACAAATTCCATTTCAGCAGTCCTTTCTATTTTTACCCCCAATAGAATTCTTTTTTCAGCTGATGTGGAATGAGTTCGCAACAGTAGCAGATTGCGATCTCTCTGCCATCATACGTAGTGCGTGAGTCATTAATTTGAAACCATGTGCTTCATCTGAAAATTACAGAGGGAGAAGCAATCTCTCAGCCTCTGACAACAAGACCCAAAGGTGGGCAGCTCTGAGGCCTTCATGAACAACCACAGTAATAAGCTGTGGTAAGATAGATGTAATTACTGTAGAATGTTAACACTGAGAATTTTTAAAACTAGGTTTCAACTGAAAGACAACCTTAAGGTTGAATTCCCTCATTTTTGGAATAGAATGAAGTAAAAATAGACAAAATTTGTCATCAGAAGACCTGGATATTTGTCTGCCAGTGCCACCAACTTGCCTTGAAATCTCAGACAAGTCACTTTGACTCTGAGCCTTGCTTGCCGTAAAAGTGGCTATAATAGACCTCCCGTTCCCCTCCCTCCCCACCCCTAACCTACTTCTTGGAGTTGTTTAGAGAATGAAAGAACGTAATGGTGAAAAATGCCTGTTAGCCATGATCAAAGGAGGCATTAGTATTGAACTTATTATTTTATAGACAAGAAAACACAGGGATGAAATTACTTGCTCAAGGTTATTCAGTTAGTTATGGAAGAACTGGGATATGAAGCAAGACTTCCAAATTCCTGAGTGTTCTTCCCACTGTCCCATGGAGCCTTCCTTCTTCTGCAATTAAGAATAAGCCTTTTTCCTATAAACTAAATTTTTCAGAATTTTCTCTTCACAATTCACATTTTTTTAAAACTTGGCATTCTAGACTAAGATAGGATGTTTTTACCCAAGAGGCTCTTTACCGATGATATTTAGAATGCATCCCTCATTGATTAGAATTTACTAAATGAGGAAACTGCAGCTCACTTGGAAGTATTAGGGACAGTCTTTCATACCCCTATTCAAGAGGAAATACATCAAGCATCAAAAGTCTAATATGTCACGTCTTAAAAATCATCTTATTATTGTGATGAATCAGAATAAGGTTTAATTGGGGTGCCTGGGGTGGCTCAGTTGGTTAAGTGCCCAACTCTTGATCTCAGCTCAGGTCCTTTTTTCTTTTTTTTTTTTTTTAATGTTTTATTTATTTTTGAGGCGGTGGTGGGGGCAGAGGGGCAGAGAGAGAGGAAGACACAGAATCTCAAGGAGGGTCCAGGCTCCAAACTGTCGGCACATAGCCTGACATGGGGCTCAAACCCACGAACCGTGAAATTACGACCCAAGCTGGAGTCGAACACTTAACTGACTGAGCCACCCAGGCACCCTGATCTCCGCTCAGGTCTTGATCTCAGGGCTGTGAGTTCAGTCCTTGCGTTGGGCTCTGTGCTGGGCATGAAGCCTACTTTAAAAAAAATACAGAATAGGGTTTAATAAAATTAATGCCTTTTAAGTCTGCTCTTATTTAGTAGCGTTCATGCATTTTGAAAGAATTCTCACATAAAGAGGAAATGTCACAGTACATACCACTTTCTCTTCATTTTGAAAAGCATATGCTGTTTGCTTTATAAGATGGAGGTAGTTATAATACCCACACCCTGCCCGTGCCTACTCCCAATTTTCGAGACACCTATTCTGTGACACCTGTCTCTGAAAGACTTTAGTGACGGACTCCCAGCCGGGCCTGACCATGATCCCCTTCCCTACACTGCTGCACTGGCCTGGGGACCTGTTATAAGGCACATGTAGGACGAATACACAGTTACCCCTTCTCCCCTTAGCCTTGCTTTTCTTGTCAGTAGTGTGAATGAAATTGGAATGACACTTCCCCCAATCCCCCTCCAGGGCTAACAGGTGTCTCTGATTCTACAATATGCCTTTTGACCCAAATGTGAGTCTTGACTACCCCCCACTTAGTGGCCGAGGTGTGAATCGTGCATAAATCACTTATGTATTGTCCATTTTCTCATCTTGCACGAGGATGATAATCTCTCCTTTCTCCCTCCCTCCTGTCTGATAAACTGCCGAGTGCTCTCTGTTATTAGCATGGTGGGCAAGCTATGCATAATTGTAGCACAGTGAAACCCAAGCGGAGACTTAAAATGAGGAAAGCCAGCTAGAATCAGTAAGAAACTAAAAGGACATATTTTTTTAAAGGGTCACTTTGACTTCAGGATCATATACTAGGAGATGGCTGATAAAATGGCAGGAGAACATGCCTTAAGATAAGACTTTGATTTAACGTCATTAACATTTTAATTGATATGACATTGGACCTTGTAGGTGCTCAAGAAGTATCCCTCTAATGCATGGGGCCCCGCAGGTCTTGCTATACCTTTGATTAGGGGGCTGTTTTCCCTTCAAACTATGGATGGTTCAGTCTGGTTCCTTTCATAATTATCACAAATGTAAGATATCTTAATCCCTGAATCAATCAGATTTTATTTTATTTGAATAAGTTTTATTTGCCTGGGTTCCCCAGAGTTACGTGCCGCCTGCTTTTGTTTCATAGGTATTAAAACCAGGCAAAAGTGTCTTGTTTCGTGACTATGGGCTATATGATCATGCCATGCTTAGGTTTAAAGCTGGCAGCAAACTTGGAGAAAACTTTTATGCTAGACAAGATGGAACCAGATCGTATTTTTTTACTGATGGTAAGATTAATGGAATTTGTCTTTAATTGTTTACTTGCTTGCATTATCACTGGGGTGCTGGCCGGAGGCGGGGGCGGCTGCACGTAGCGCAAGGTCCCGGCTGGAACAGTCTCCGACGCGCACCACGTAGCACCTGGGACAACAGGGACGCGGCCCTGGCCGTGGTGAGCTCACAAGCCTCCTCTGGTGACAGTGTCTAGTTAGTGAGCCCAGGTTAGTGGACAGGCTCTGACATGCCACGTGGCTGCCCTACCAGGAAATGTGCTGGAAAAGGGGGAGGGCAAATGCGGATCCTCACTTCGTCCAGTCACAAAGAAAACAGGTAGGATGGGGCACCAGGCTGGCTCAGTCAGAAGAGCATATGTGACTTAATCTTGGGGGTCATGAGTTCAAGCCCCACACTGGGTGTGGAGGTTACTAAAAACAAATAAATAAACTCAAAAAAAAAAAAAGACAAATATAATACCTGGAGATTACCTTCCCAGGTTATAAAGGCAAGAAACCTTTTTGTATAAAGGTTTTAAGTATGCAAATTTACTATAGGGGTCTTTAAAAAGTCATTTTTTAAAAATTCCTCCTTAATATTTATTCATTTTTGAGAGACAGAGCACACACAGGGGAGGGGCAGAGAGAGAAAGGGAGACACAGAATCTGAAGCAGGCTCCAGGCTCTGCACTGTCAGCACAGAGCCTGATGCGGGGCTCGAATTCACAAACCACGAGATTGTGACCTGAGCTGAAATTGGCCACCCAACTGACTGAGCCACCCAGGGGCCCCTAAAAAGTCATTTTGATAAGAAAAGCATCCAACCCCCGAACATTATTTCAGTCTTATACTAGATATTTTGAACTATTCGTTTTAAGCCTACTTAATCATTTGGACCACAAAATAATTACCTTCTTAAACTCTATTTTTACAACCGTTTGTATTTCTTAAAGTATTCTTTTGGATGTAGAAGGAAATCAGAAATGAGTGATTACCATTAAAACTGCAAAGCCAGAAAATGTCAGGGGAAAGTTAAAAATATTCATGCTCCTGTTTACTGAAATCTCAATTGTAAATAATTGAGAAGATGTAGTGATGTCTGCAGAGTACGTCAGAGCGTGTCCTCAGAAGCAGGGCTCTAAGGGTCTTCACTTTCACTACATGGCCATTCTGTTGGTTTCAGTGAACATGTAGTGATGTATTATTTGGGTTAAAGTTTCCTTAGGGTATATCACTACAAAGGGATTTTCCCCGCCACTCTGGTTACAGAATTTCCTCCTTCGTGTTAGGATAGGTGAGGTGCTTGGTGCAAACAAACTGAACACGTGAAGACTTTATATGAATATAGCCACATTGAATATTGTTTCTTTTTACTCAGACATTGGTATTTGGGGATTCATAATAATAGGGCAAGGTGGCCATACTCCAGGTTGTCCTTAAACTTTTCTGATGAAATTATTTAGTTGGGGGTTTCTATTTGGGTGTGAGATGAGAAGTAGGAGTGTGTTACTTTCTAAAACAAAACCTTCTTTAAATTTTAGCACTGGAGTTTTTGTTATATTAAAAAAAATACCATAGCCCTCCTCCCTGCCCCCCCCCCCCCCCCCCCCGCCCCCTTTACCACCTCAGAGCAAACGTAGTATCAAGACCATGAGCGTCACAAGGGCACCTGGGCGGCTCAGTTAAGCCTCCAACTTCAGCTCAGGTCATGATCTCAGGGTTTGTGAGTTTGAGCCCCGTATCGGGCTCTGTGCTGACAGCTTGGAGCCTGGAGCCTGCTTCAGATTCTGTGTCTCCCTCTGCTCTTCCCCTGCTTATGTTTGCACGCTCTCTCTGTCTCTCTCTCAAAAATAAGTAAACAAACAAAAGACCATGAGCATTGTTGATCTGCTTCTTTACAGAATTCCTGGCTCAGCTCTTTATGGACACAGGTTACGAAGAAGTGGTGAATGAATATGTGTTTCGTGAGACGGTGAATAAAAAAGAAGGCCTGTGTGTGCCGAGGGTTTTTCTTCAGAGCAAATTCCGAAAGTGTCCTAAGAACCCAACACCCTTGACCCTGGGCCTGGGTCACAAGTCCTGACCTTTCACAAGGTTGACATTTGTGCCTCCCCTTGAAGAGGAAAGTTTGAAGTAACTCTATTTTGTATATTTTTTATATTTTAACTTTTTAAAAATGAGCATATATAATTTTTATATGGAAGGGTAGCAAGTGTGTGTGTATATTACAACAATGCAAATAAAATTTCCAGGCCTGAAAAGTAAAGAAAGTTTGATGGTATAATGTAGGGCAGCCAGGCTGTCTGACTGAAATTCCACGAAGGGAAAAGCATAAGCGCTTAAAGAGATTCTTGCCGTCACTACTGCGAGTCTGTAAGTGTGCCCCCAGGCAGCATGTCAGGCAGGCCTGTGGAAAAATGAGGCCAAATAGACTGAAATAACACATCCACATGTATTTTTAGCCTGAAGGATTGTTCTCTTTTTCCAGTGTCTCCTATTTGCCCGTTTTTCTCCGCTTCAGTTCATTTATGTGCCTCTTCAAGACCAGTGTTTCACAAATACAGCTTTTGCTATGACTCGAGAACCCACCATGGCTCCCTGCCTAATTCTTGAGACCCTTTGTAATTGAACCAGGCCCTGGCCACACTGCCCCAGGGAGAGAGGGGAAGGCCGTCTTCCCGATGCAGTTTCTCCAGGAATACGGTGGATGGACTGACCTAAGTCCCCACTGGGATATGAAGCAGTGGCTTGGGAGGTAATTGACCAACATGGCCAAAATCACACAGCTAGTGTTGCAGTGGGATATGGGGAAATCCTTAAATTAGTGTGCTGACCTGTTTCCCAAGCATCTCCAAATAATGCCTTTTACCCTATGACATAAAATCCAAGCGCTGTTGGCTCGCTAACAAAAGATCCTATAAGCCTTCCTGTTTCCCCTCTGCAGAGAGCTTGTCTATGAGAACATTTGTGTAAAGTACATTGACTGTGGTCTGCACCTGCAGCAAGCTAAGGCCCTTTCACCGTTGCCACATCTGAGGAGGGAGGTCCCAGTGGGGAATGGGCTGCATAATAGTCCTAGCCGGTCTGTACGACTAGAATCAATCCTGGCTCCTGGAGAGAAGCGGGGCAGGCGTTGGGGCTCAGGCAGAGTGCCGGCTGGCATCCTGCCCTCTGGGCCCGACTTCTTGGGAGTGGCTTCTGGGGATGGGGCAGGGGATGCAAGAGGAACCCCGGTCTCTTGTTGGTCTGTTGCTTCATATACTCTCTCCCTTTCTTTTGAGGGCTAAAAGATGGCTCTGCTAGGTGAGAGCAAAACCGATGAGGAATTGTACAGAGTTTATCTCTTGCAGTGTTTTTTTTTTTTTTCTTTCTTTTAATCAGCTAGTAAAGATGGATTTATTGCAGGGTTCATGGGCCCTCTCCTAGATCTTGGGTCAGGCCTGGCCCCAGAGCATCTGGTAGAGGAGAGCCACGACCAGCCGCAGGGTCCCCACTTCCGGTCCAGGGCTCCTTCCTCTAGCCTTCTCCGAGTGAACCCCACTCCTAGCTTCAGCCCCAGGATGCGCCTTCCACAAAAGTCCTTCCCTCCATGAGATATGACTAGTGCTGCTTGGATTTCCGTGGCTGAGCTGAATAAAATCAGGGTATTTAAAGTAGAAAGTAGGGAGCTGTGTAGGGCGTAGGATAAGCATGGGCTTTTGTTATCAGAAGTCACTTGGAATCGTGACCTCATCATTTACCCTCATTTGTAAAATGGGGATAGCTGCTGAGAAGCACACCTACTGGAGGTTGCTGGTCCGAGGCGGATCATATGCCGAGAGACAGGAGTGATGTTCTCAAGAAAGCTGAACAGGCTAGTAAGGACCCTGGCTGTAAGAAAAGGCCTCTCTACCTTCACTAGTAGTTGGCTGAGGGGACACCCATGAATAAGACTAACTAACAGGAGCAGTTATGGCCCCAAAGTCCTACCCCATAAAGGAAAGGCTGCAAAGTTTTCACTTGGAGTATTTAAAGTTGGCCTGATGACATAGGTAACCTCTCAGTTACCCCACTCTAAAATACATTGGTTGTAGGGGCGCTTAGCTGGCTCAGTTGGTGGAATATGTGACTCTTGGATCTTGGGGTTGTGAGTTCAAGCCCCACATTGTGTATAGAGATTGCTTAAAAATGAAAACTTTAAAATACATTGGCTATGAAATATACTACTTAAGTGAATGAGGTGACATAGTCCATCAGAGTTTTAGCCATGAGCTAATGGATTGGATTAAGAAACAACAAACATAAGGCTAAGCATAATAAAAACATGGCTACAGTCCCACTGCCTCTGTGCCTTCCTGTTGATTCTCCCCAGGCAAACCTCTTATCATTTCACCGCAGGTTAGGACAGTAGAGCAGCAGGGCTTTCCACATTTTGGGCGCCAGGGACCCAGGAAAGCAAAGCCACAGTTCAGTAGCAAAACTAACGGCATTTGTTAAATCAGACTACAAAGAGTGCACCAAGTATTGCCTTGTTTTCACAGACAGAAAACGGCTCCAGAAAGGTAGTGAGTACTAGTTAACAGTACTATAGAAAGTAGTAGAAGTATCATAGTATTATATAGTTCGTATCCGTACTATATATAGTATAGTACATATATGCTATACGATGTATACTGTATACTGTACTATACAGTACTAGGTATATGTTTTGAGTTTTTGATATACTACATAAATAATGCTAATAAAATTATATCACATGGTTTGGAGTTTGGAAATCTGGGTTCAAGTCCAGGACTTGCCCCACACAAGTCGCCAGCTTTACAGAGCCTCAGTTTTCACATCTGTAAGGCTGAGTTCTTGGCACCTACAGCAGAGGGCTGCTGTCAGCCTTTAACGAGATCATCCACTTGGGAGTGCTTTGTTCACTAAAATGTGCCAGCCAAGTGCTAGTTATTTCTATTAGTTTGTATTCCCCAAGAAAATAACCTCTCCCATTTTTCTTAAACCCCAATTTCTCTTCCAGAAGCCTGTCATTTTTAAGCATAGGGTCCTCAAAAGAGGCCGCAAGGGGGCGCCAGACGCTAAATAATCCCGTTGGCCTTTCCAGCGTGTCCATTTTTATTGTCATCGAAAAGGAAGGCAAATGCTTACAAATGTGTTTTCTAGGTCAACTTTATCCCATATGATCAATTTTGGCCTCATTGTGGAAATAGCAAGGATGCTTTTATCCAGCGTTCAATATACCTTACCTGTGGAAGGTGGTTTGCTTTCAACTGAATTTGGGCAACATTTTAGGTAATAGGTTCTGAGAGGGTCTGCAAGCCCCCCCCTCCCCCATCCCTGAATGGTTCCGTGGATTCATTTTTACTGTTGCTAGGGATTAAGGCAACGCAAGAGAAGGGTCTCAGCCTGGATACTTATTTGCCTCACACATTATTCATAGTTATCTTTGACAGCATTCAGCTTCCTATTTCACAGTCATCAACCAAGAAAGGGAAAATTGTGAAAGAAATCATGTGCACCGAGAGAGTAAAGCGGGACCGTGTTTGCTGTTGGGAGGCAAATATTGAATATGAACGTAAATAGGCTCTGCTTCTGAAGCCAAATGAGTCATTAAACACAAAATTAGCTACGTTTTCACTTTTCTGCCCTTCTCACACACGTGGCATTTCAGTAGCTAGTGTTCAGTAGGTACCAACTGGAAACAGGGTGCTGTGGGGTCACCCTGGCTGGAATATAGGAGTAGGAGGACTGTGGGCACACACAGAGGTAGGGGACTTCACTGAGCCAAAGTGGGGCAGCTAGGAAACTAAGCACAAACACACGGCACCAGAGGAAAGAAAAAGAGGAAGAGAGGCTATGGAAAACCTGAGCGTGACAACTGTCACCATCACTTGGAAAGAATATTTCCACACTTCGCATTAGAGGCGTCCTATGCCCTGGTTTAGGGCATGGCCGTGGAGATGAGAACGTGACGCAGAGCTCCTTTAGAGTGTCTTCCCAAGCACGTCTAGAAAACCATTGTGACCGGCAAAATGAGACAATTTACAACTTATGACAAAATGGTCAGCTCTGATTAGAAATAGTTATTGAATTGAGACTCCCTTTGTTGCCTTTCAAATGAATAAAATTTATTTTTTTTATATTTATTTATTTTTGAGAGACAGAGTGAGACAAAGTGAGACTGGAGGAGGGGCAGAGAGAGAGGGAGACACAGGATTGGAAACAGGCTCCAGGCTCTGAGCTGTCAGCACAGAACCTGACGCGGGGCTCGAACCCACAGACTGTGCGATCACGACCTGAGCCGAAGTTGGACGCTCAACCGAGTGAGCCACCCAGGCGCCCCTCAAATGAATAAAATTTAAAACATGCTCACACTCAGGGTGCCTGGGTGCCTCAGTTGGTTAGTGCCTTGACTCTTGATTTTGGCTCTGGTCATGATCTCACCCTTCGTGAGATTGAGCCCCTCATCGGGCTCTGCGCTGACAGCACAAGCCTGCTTGGGATTCCCTCTGTCTCCTTCTGCCTTATCCTCTCTGCTGACCCATGTGCGCGTGCATGCATGCTCTCTCTCAAAAATAAGTAAACGTTTTAACACACACACACACACACGCACACACACACACTGCTCATTCTCTTTCTGGGGCTCTTATTATTAAACATCGAACTTTCTCTACCACTACTATAATTTTACAGTCTGTTCTCTCTTTTTCCACCATCTCTCTTTTTTCATGTTTTGCTTTCTGGGAGATTTGATTCACAATCCTTCACTGAGTTTTTAACTTCTGCTTTCATATTTTTATTTTTTATATATTTTTTAAAGTTTATATTTATTTTGAGAGAGAGAGAGGATCCCAAGCAGGCTCTGCACTGTCAGCACGGAGCCTGATGTGGGGCTCAGATCCACCAAGTGTGAGATCCTAACCTGAGCCGAAATCAAGAGTCGGATGCTTAACTGACTGAGCCTCCCAGGTACCCCATCTGCTTTCATACTTTTAAATTCCAGGAACCCTTTTGTATTCTTTCATTGTTCGTTTTAAAAATAGCAACTTAGTCTTGTTTCATGGATGCAGTGTCTTCTATCTCTCCAGGGCATGCATTCTCCTCAGGGACACTTTTGTCCCCAAAGGCACAAAACGTGGTTCTTTGGTGGTTGGCCAAAAAATCTTAGACCGTACAATGATTTGTGACCCTTCAAAAC